AGGCCCTGCTTCTCTTCTAGCGTCTGGACCTGCTTTTCAAGTTCCTTATAGCCGACACAGCGTCCGACAAGCGCAGAATCCGTCCCGTCTGTCATACAGTTTTCGAGGCCTCTTGGCAGTGCATCGGTTCTTATTTCCTGTCCTATCTCTTCGAGCCTATTGTGCGTAATCTGCCTGGAGTCTAATGATTCCAGCGGCATTTTATCGCAAGAGACTGCTAATGAGTTAAAGACCGTTTTCAGCTGCTCTTCTGTAGTTGATAAACATATCTGACTAGCGCCAAACCGTTCATCGATAGCGCGGTGGCTAACACTGTGGCCTCCGAGATCGCAGGTACCGAGTTCAAATCGGGGTTGCACAAGTTTTGTGAACGAGTTTTTTTATAACAAATTGGCTCATTGGCTGATAGAGAACACACAGGTTCAGTGTCGGTAATTGTTTGATGCGTATCTTGCGTGAAATTATTTGAAAATTTCGCGGTGCCACATCGGATATTGCTTGCTGACATCACGGAATTTTATTTGAGACATATATCACTGTGCCACCTCTTCTGCGTTGAAATCTGTCACAACGGAACACTCGGTAACCTTCAATACTGACTTCGCTACTACTTATTTCCTCAGTCAACAATGTCTTTGTTAGGACAATTATGTGAGGCTTCTGTTCAGAGACTAGTAATCTGAGTTCATCTCGCTTGTTGAGACGACTCGGGCAGTAAGTGTGATAGATTTCTAGACAGCGGTCACTGGTGCTAGCAGCTTCAGGAGTTGGCACGTTTAAATTAGTTAGGCTGTCAGAATGACGGCCTTCGGCCAGAGAAATGCCTTTTGACCTGGATTATTTGTCCGTTTTAGATTTGTAGGTGTGTTTCGCCGCTGCTTCTCCGCATTTACAGCTCCGTCATCGGCTCTCATTTTCATTCGCACTTTTGGCTCGTAATCCCGCTAAAAAAAAACACTTCATTATGCTGACGCCGCAGACATACTTTTCTCTGTAACAGGAGCTGTGCCTGTGCTTCAGTCTCCAGAATGACTTTTAGGACTTGAGGCCGGGAATTGGAACCGGACGCTGACTGAGTGTTCCCTATCTGGAATGCTTTGAGAACAATAAGTGACTCACTGTCTCTATAAAAAGCTTTCGCATAAATTTGAAGAAGGTTTAAATCATGTTTAATTCTCTCCTTTGGATTGTTGCCGTTGATTCGGGCACTCACTATATAACTACATTTTGCTTGCAACTGAATATAGCGCTCGTTGTTGCCGCATAAAAGTTTAATCGAATCAGTATTTAGATAAAGGCGTAACCTTATTTTAAAAGCGTGTAGATTGTCTGAAAATCTTATATTTATTGGAGGGTTATTCCATAAGAATGTATATCTGGAAGCGAAAAAAGAGAGCGCTTAGAGGTGGAGGAAGCTGGAGGATGTATAGTCAAGGAAGATTTGCGAAGATTGTATGGGCGATTACTAGGGGTAAGGGCAGAAATCCGAGGAAGATTTGAACTATTATTAATGCGAAAGAGGAAACAGAAGCCTGCATCTTGTCATCGAACCCATAAAAAATTTAGGTTAATTAGCTGGCATCTATCTGAGTAGGAGATATTGCGATGTTCCCTATCTAAAAGTTTTTAGAAAAACGTATTTGGACATTTTAAATTTTTAGGCGACTTGCCTCATTCATTAAACCAAAGAATGGGCAACAATACTCGAGAATTTGAAGTACAAACATACGATAAAGCCTGAATTCAATTTCAGGAAGATGGAAATCGTAAGAAATAAAGCCACAAATCTGGGCAGCTTTGGCTGTAATTCTATCAGCGTGTGACGAGAGATCAACATTATTTGTGTAGCGCAAACCTAGATCATTGATGGTCGTACATTCAGTCATACATGTGCCTTGAAAGACCACTGGGTGGGATAGCATCTCAGTCCAAAACACATATAGCGACATTTAGAAGGAGAGAATTCCATTAGCCATTTTGAGCTCCAAGCTAAGAGAGCAAGTGACTCAGCGTGGATTTGCTCCAGGCAATGAGGGCTCGTAGATTTGTTGAAAGAATATACACATTTGAGATTATCGGCATAAATAAATGATTGAGAATGCTTAACTGCGGCCGAGATATCATTTATGTAAAGCAAGAACAAATGAGGATCTAAAACGGTGCCTTGTAGCAAGCCGCTGATAACAGGGCCTTCACGGGAAAGTGAAGATCCCGCTAAAATCTTTTGTTTACGATTAGACAGGTATGACTTGATAAGGTCTATTACTGGACTGTGAATTCCCATAGCTTGCAATTTAACTAAGAGTCTTTTATGTGGCACTTTATCGAAGGCTTTACTAGGATCAAAATAAATAACGAAGGCGGATAAATAGCCATTACGAAGAGAAGTAAGTTAATTGAGAAACGACAAATGACATTTTTTACAACAGCGATCTGGTAAAAAACATGCTGGGAAGGGCTAATAACTTGATTCAGTTCAGTTCAGTTTATTGAGGGAAATGTAGGTCTTCACCTTTGAACTCCCTATTTGTTTACAAGCAACTGCAAAATCTCAAAAACTCGAAAAGGTATCATAAAGTAACAAATAAACGGAAAAGCGCCAGGTCTGTACAGACAAACAAACTGTCTCGAATTTTAGTGGTACGAGCAGTTGTAGAGCTGTCGTTTCGAGTGCAGCGAAATAAATAATATGTACGGGGACAAAATTTGCATATGTGCATGTCAGTAAGCGTAGGCGATGGGTTGCTACAATAATAAGTTCAATTTACAATGTTACTGAAATATAGCAAGTAGTATTATAATAGCTGAATTTGTTGAGGTTACAGAGAACGGGGTGGTAATTTAGTGCACACTGCTACACAAATCCAGCTTCCTCTTAAAAACCTCGACGGAAGCAGACATAACGACATCCGCAGGCAGGGCATTCCAGGCTTCTACCACTCTGTTGGAGAAGAAGAACTTTCGTGTGTCCAGTCTGGCCCCTGTCACACGTAGTTTGAATGGATGGCCTCGTAGATTTGTGGTGGTTGCTAACTCGAAGAAGTCCCCCGGTACGAGGCTGCAGTCCTGACCGCGTATGATACGGAAGACTTGTATCAGGTCACCCCGTAACTGCCTGTAACTCAAGGGAAAGAGATGAAGGTTAGCTAACCGCGTTGCATATGGTAGTGAACTCTGTCCTGCTACAAGTTTCGTTGCACGCCTTTGAACCCTTTCAAGGATGCTGAGGTCCTTCGCTGTCCAGGGTCTCCAAGCTTGGATAGCAAATTCTAGTTGCGGACGCACAAAAGTTCGAAAGACTTTAGCGAAGCAGTCTTCGTCAAAGGCAGAGAAAGCCCGCTTGACAAGGTAGAGGACTGACATTGCAGACTTGGCTATCTTCGTGCAGTGCTGCGAGGGTTTGAGCGAGGTCGTAATCCATACTCCCAAGTCCTTCTGCGAGTCCACTTCTTGCAGTGGTATACCATTTAGGCAGTAGGCCATATGGTTCGGAGAGCGAGCTCTGCCGACTCGTAGAATATTACACTTTTTCTCGTTGAACGGCAGAAGCCAGGCCTTTGACCACTGTTGGAGTCGATTTAGGTTCGCCTGCAGATGCTCTTCGTCATCTGCAGTTCGAATGACGCTCCAGAGCTTAATGTCATCCGCAAACATGGCGACACCACAATCCAGTTCACTCACGCAATCGTTGACGTAAATGATGAACAAAGTAGGGCCAAGAACTGAGCCTTGGGGAACACCGCTTTCAACTGCAACCTCCGTCGAATTCTGGCCACCGACATGGACAGTTTGACAACGGTCTAACAGGAAGCTTTGAATCCATTTTAAGAGGTTACCCCTAACGCCTGTTCGGCTCAGTTTGTGCAGGAGTCGCTGATGTGGGACACTATCAAATGCCTTTTTAAAGTCGACATAGACTACATGCAGCGCACTGCCTTCATCAATTGACCGAGTCCAACGTTCCAAACAGTTGAGCAGGTTAGTCACGCAAGACCTGCTACTACGAAACCCATGCTGCGCAGCAGATTATAAATTATGCTGCTCTAGGAAGCGCATCAGCTCTCGCTTGCTTATTTTCTCCATGAGTTTGCAGCAGATGGAAGTGAGGCTCATTGGCCTGTAATTGTTTGCAGAGGCCTTGCTGCCTCCTTTATGCAGTGGTGTGATCCGCGCAGATTTCCAGTCGGTGGGCAAGCCGCCGGCTTCGAACGAGGCTTGGAAAAGCATGGACAATGGTTTGGCTAGTTCGGCAGCGAGCTCCTTCAGTAACTTAGGCGGTATGTCGTCTGGAGCTGGTGATTTCGACTTATTTAGCGTCATTAGCTCTTTGCGAACCGTCGCTTCATCAAAAGACACAGACTCGATTTTTGGACCCTCATCGAAGTCGTAGTCGGGGGGAGTAAATGGACTTTCACTAGTAAAGATGGATTTGAAAAATTGTGAAAAGTGCTCAGCTTTTTCTCCATCCTCACTAATCTCTACGTCTCCGCTAGTCTTCAGGAGGGGGATTGGATCTCTGTTTCGTGTGCTGCTTCTTATGTAGCTGTAGAATAATTTTGGATTTTCCATAGCACGATTCAATAGGTCTTTTTCAAAATTTTGCCGTGTCCTGAGGTTCAGTCGCTTGACTAAGTTCCTCTGTATTTTGTATGCGTTTATGGATACAGGAGTCCCATCAGTAAGAGATTTCTGCCACAATCTCCGTTTTTTATTTATTTCCTTTTTTAACGCCTGGGTCAGCCACCGGGGTCGTTTGTTTAGCCCCTTCCGTAAAGGCGGGCAATGGTTTGTCAGGAGAAGATGCAATAATTCACTGAACCATTTCCAATCCTCCTCTATATTTCCGGAAAACGCTGATTCCCAGTCCGCATTGTTGATTTCGGCCTTCATTTGATCGAAGTCCCCACGCCAAATATTTCTTCTAATTTTGGTGGGCTGTTCAGGCACGGAAAAGATTGAATAGTTCCATTGAAGTACAACGTGATCGCTTCGACCTAAGGGAGGCAGACATTGTACCTCATCTGTGCTGTCCATCGATTTCGTGAGCACCAGGTCCAAGCAGTTTGACTGCTGCCCCTCACGGACCCTCGTGGGAAATAGGATGTGCTGTGTGAGAAATGACCTGAGTGCCATGTCCAAGAAGCGTCGGTCGAAAGCTAGTGCTGGGCCGCGCGCGTATAGTGAACTCCAATCAATGAGCGGTGCATTGAAGTCGCCCATGATTAGGACGTCAGGCCGGAGAGCAAATCGTCCTAGCTCCTCTAACAGACGAGCGTCAGCCTCGGGGTCACTCCTCGGTGGTCGATAGACGGTCAGAACTTCAAGGCTATGTGATCCTGGTACCCTTATATTGAGCCAGATAGTCTCGGCGCTGCAGACAAACTGTTCTGTTTTTTCTGACACAAGCAGGCCGTGTTTTACGTACGTGACGACTCCTCCCTGACGCTCTCTCCTGTCTCTTCGAAACAGCTGAAATCCTGGTAGCATTAATTCGCGGTCATCCACGTTTTCAGACAGCCAGGTTTCTGTCAAAGAGACAATGTGAGGGGAAAGGTCACAGATGTGGATCTTCAGTTAGTCTAACTTGGGCAATATACTCTGCACGTTGGTGTAAAAAAATGTTAGTTTCAGAGTTTTGGGGCGTTTGATTATGGTGCCGCTTGTGATCCCATTTAAGGAAGCTACTGTGCCCTCATCCGGATCGGTTCGGTCCAACGGATTAGGGGAGGGCGCTGCACTATCTGGTTGTTGTAGATCACAAGATCCGTCTCGCCATTCTGCAACCTTGTTCTCAGTTCCAGAACTAATTGTCGACGTTTTATTCTCTCTGCCGGTGTGTAGTCCGGCTGAAAAAAACGCCGCGGTTGGTGTCTTTGATTCGGAAACGTCGTGAGAGAATAAGTCCTACTTGCTCTTGGTTGGCTAACACAATCTTGAGTGGTCGGGGACGTGAGTGCTCTGATATATCGATTGAGCGCTTTTCAAGCCTAAAGGCCTTGAGAACCGAAACTTCCTCATTGGGGCGCAGAATTTCGTTGAGTAGGCATTGGAAGAGTTTCAGGTCTGCCGAGACCCGCTCTTTGGAGGCACCAGCTGTGGATTCGGGAAGTCCCTGACATTGTCCTCTGACCGGCGACACTCGAGAACTCAGTGGTTTCGTGCTCCGACATAGGCAATATGTGGTTGCCATGATCTGACGAGGATATAAGCTGCAGTCGATTAATATCCTCATTCGTCTCTGTTTTGTTGGCATTTTCATCAAAGTCGGCAGTTTTTTGCGATAGGTTGAGGGTTTTAGGACCCATGTCATTTCCTGTAATGGGCGACACGGACGCCGACGTCCCTGGTTCCGGTTCTTCGGGGGCATTCCTCGGAATCTGCTGTTCATGTCCTTCGACCTTTTTGCTGCACGATTTCTTTTTTTTCCTCTGGTTTTTTATCGTTGCTTCGCTGGTTGTTGTCGTCTTGTATTTTATGTGTTTGTGCTGGGTGTGCCGTGACAGCTGCAGAAGGTGTTGATGGCGTATTTTTTGTGCGACGTCCTTTGGCCCTACTTCTAGTTATTCGTCCAACAGGTACATTCGCATCGTCAAGTGTGTCTAGTTTACATTGTAGAAGGATTTTCATCTTTTCCATCTCTTCCTCAAGACGGTTGATTTTGCCGGCCAATATCTCGCATCCACTGCAAAATCGATCGGTATGCGGCACGCATTTACTATCAAGTAAACTTTGCGACATCGCCCGCCGTCGTGCCGCGGTGGTCGAGGGGTTAGCGTGCGCGACTGAGATGCCGATGGTCGGTGGTTCGACTCCGTCATGCAGCGCAATATCTTGTGTGGCTGCGCAAATCGTCATTATGTAGTGGACTTATGCAAAACGGACAAATCTTCAGGAATAACAAGCTATTTCTTAAGGCGCAACTGTGGACAGTGCCTATGCTTATGCTGGATACGCCGAAAATTTCCAGGGAACGCTTTTTTCAGGTAAATCTATGGTAAAGTGAGACAACTCGAGTTGTCCGAATTTAAGCAGCACAGCAAGCAGTGTAGAAATATCGACTCAGCCTTATCGTAGATGTTGCTCCTAACTTCTGTGAGCAATTTGAGACGGTGTATTGGATGGGTAAGCCCTGTAGACAAGCCGGGATTTCCGACAGATAGACCGTTTTTGCTGAAGTTTGTTCTGATCGAACGATAGGAGTATCGATGGCGATAGCTGGAGGATCGTTGTCAGAAAGGCGTTTTATAATCCACGTTTTGGCTATGTAAAAGTCGGTAATTTTTAAGGCGATAATTTTTTCAAAGGTTTTAGCGAGAGTAGGCGTTTTATGGACACCTCGATAATTCTAAACGCCAGAACGACAGCCAGACTCAAATACTGGAATAATAATATAAGTTTTCTAATAGTTACTAAAGAGGCCATTTATGAGAGATACTGAAAACAGTTTGCTAAGCAGAGGAAGAAAATCTCTTAGCCGCTTTATTAGAGAGTTTGGGATATTGTCCGTACCTACTGAGTGAGGATTAGGGAGATTTAAGTTTATTTCAGATTATTTGGTAAGGATAATAGGCAAAGCGTTTGAAAACCCTATTGATTACATGTCAGCTCGTTAGAAATAACTGTGCAGGAACAATGAGAATATTCGCTATTGAAGCAGTACTTAATTCATTTGGGTAGCATTGTCTTAGAGAAAAAAATTGCTGGGTCGTGGGGTATTTAGTTTAAATTTAGACTGCCGAGGGAAAACAGGGGACACAAATAATCATCCAAGCGGTTTTAGAATAGTTTCAGAGACGTCGCCACCACGACTGAGGGAGATCGTTCCATTTCTCCACTACCCTCTGCGTGAAAAATTCTGAACGAAGATTCGGCCTGGACATTGTTGTCCGTAACTTCATAGTGTGGAAGATTGGGTGAAAGATGCCACTGAAGAATGTCCTTTAAGCCAAGTCCATGCTCAAGGCCATGTTTTATCTTGTAGACGAGCATAAGATCACCCCTTGGTTGCCTGTAACACAGGGGGAATAAATAAATGCATTCAGTCTGTCTGTGCATGATTGGCTTATAGACCGTTTACAAGTTTTGATGCACGGCGTTGTACTCGTTCGAGGCATGCTTGGTTCTTTACTAGTCATGGCCGCCATGCCTGTAGGCCGTATTCTAAGGTGCCGTAAAATATCCCAAAAAGATCTTGGTCAAAGTTTACGAACGCCCTTTTGATTGCATAGAGCACTCTCATGGCCTTTTTTGCAGCCTTGTGGCACTGCAGTTTTGGTTTAAGGTTGTTCTGTATCCATACCCCGAGATCCTACTGTGAAGTTTCCGCTGGGAGCCTTAAATCTTTCAAATGATATATCCTCAGGCTCTCAGTTGGATGATTGTTGGTTGGACGCAGATGAAGGACGGCACACTTCTCCACACCGAAATTTAGAAACCAATTCTTCGACCACGCTTGCAGTCGATGCGGATTTTCTTGAAGGGATCTCTGATCATTCGGACCTTTACTGACTTGCCAGAGCTTAACTTCGTCTGCAAATATTATTTTGTCGCAGTCGAGTTCCTTAAGACTGTCATTAACATAAAGGGTAAAAAGCAATGGTTTCAGAACTGAGCCTTGAGGCACACCACTAGACACGTGAACTCTTTCTGACATATCCCCTCGCATAAAGACACGGTGTCTCCGACCAACCGGAAGCGCTCTTATCCAGTTCAGAAGATCACCTCGGTTGCCGATAGCGCTCAAGTTGTGAAGAAGGCGTTGGTGCGGAACAGTGTTGAAAGCTTTCCGGAAATCCATGTACGCGACATTGACCTCAAAACCTTCCTCTAGAGCCCTGGTCCAGATCTCCAGATAAGCTGGCAGATTTGAGATACAGGAGCGTCATCTCCGGAAGCCATGTTGAAAATCCTGCAAGATGTTATTTTCTTCACAAAATTGCTATATAGCGCTCTTTATTAGAGCTTCTTTCGTTTTGGATGGGAGGCAAGTTAAGCTAATAGGCCTGAAGCTGATTGATGTCATCCTGCTACCCCCTTATGTAAAGGAACGAAGTTAGCCGCCTTCCACTGTGATGGCATCCTTTCTGTTCTCATTGACAGCTCAAAGAGAATCGGAAGAGGCCTTGACAGCTCCGTTGATAACTCCTTACGTATCAGCCCAGGAATTCCGTCGGGTCCGTGAGACTTATCGGGTTTTATTCGACTGAGGACGAATTTACTTCTTCGACGGAAAAGTCGACGGTTTCAAGGACGGCAGTATTTTGGCGCACTTGAAGCTCCCGGCTCTCTCGGTCCATTTCAAACTGCCGATTGTATTCTGAGGACTGCTCGGTAAAAACCGATTGAAAAAAATGTGACATTAATTGCACTTTCAGTGGCCATTCATCTAATAAGTTTCCAAAGCTACCCTTTAGACAGGACATTTCGTCCATATGTTTCCTCCTACTGCGGATGTACCCGTAAAACCTCTTGGGGCAGGTACTGGATTCTGCTATCAGTCGGCGCTCGAAAGAAGTTCTAGCAACCGTCATTTGTTTGCGGTATTTATTGCGCTGATGCTTATATTCGGC